GAAGGCTCTGGCCTGGCCCCTGCAGAGACTGTCACGCCCCCAGGATGACCTGCGGTCTGTTCACAGGTCCTGCCTCTATGTACCTTCAGAGTCCACAGCACAGAGGTCACAGGTGACCCCTGACACGCAGCAAGGTCAGGGCAGCCGTAGCACACTAGGCACAGCTGCTGGACGCTGCCCAGCTCTGTACACCACCGTGCATCACACAGGGACCACGACAGGCCCCACACCTGTCAGTCTGGACCTGCCACAAGTCCCCGCCTGCCCGGGTGGGCTGCCAGAGGTGGGGTGTAGGAGACAGGCGCAAGCACCGGAAAACGAGACACCCAAACAGCCTGTGGTGGTTTTTACTGGAAACCAACACCCCGGGAGCCCCCCCCCCACCCCATCTCCTGGGAGCCCAGGAGCAGAAATAAAAGGTGAAAAGCCCCCCAGGTCCGTTTCTTTCTTCGGCCAAAAGCAGCCACTCAGGCAGGTGCGTGGTGGCACTGCGGTCTCTGCACAGATGAGGGTCGTAGCCAGCTGTGGGCTCCACACCCGAGGACATAGGGAAGACCCAGGGTGCACACAGTCCTGACAGCGGGGCCTCAGCTGGCCTGGGGCAGGCCCTTCTTGAGCAGAGATGTGAGGTAGCTTCCCAGCTCCTCGTCCTGCAGCCACAGGCAAGAGGGGCCATTGGTCCCGGTGATGCAGCCCAGGGTGACGCGGTGACCCCACCAGTCCCGCACCTTACCTGGTAGGTCCAGGAGACCAGCAGCACCTTGGTGCCTGGGTCCTCTGAGTGGGCAGCGGCCTGAATAAGGATGGACTCCACGGTCACGGAGCCGTCAGGAAGATGTTGCACGCAGTGGTCCTTGAGGACGCTGCGGGGAGGCACAGTGAGCCCCTGCCTGGCGCCCCCGCTGGCGCCCCGCCCCCCAGGTCCGGAAGGCGCGGCCGCAGCGTCTACCTCTTCAGGTGGCTGTACACGCGCACGGCTGTCTCCTGCTCTTTGCGTGTGTCGTGCAGGTGCACACGGCAGGTAAAGCGCAGCTGGTGCTCGGCCAGGCCCAGCTCCTTGAGGGCCTGCTCTGAGGACACGAGCCGGAAGTTCTGTGGGGCAAGGGCAGGTCAGGGGCGTCGGGGGCGGCCCCCACCGCCCCCAGTGATGGCTGGCACTCACACTGTCCTTCATGATCAGGGTGCCATGCAAGAGCCGGGGCTTCTTGGCGTCAGGGAGCAGCCCTGTGGGGCAGGGGCAGCGGTCAGAGCTGTCAGTGGGGCCACCTGCCCAGCAGCTGCCCCGCCCCCACTCAATGGGCCCTGCCGCTCACCCTGCGCCATCTCCCGCTTCAGCAGCCCCAGTGAGATGCCCACGGGGATGCTGGGGCTCGTGGGCAGCGTCACTGTCTCGCCGTTGGCTGGCATGTAGCAGCTGACCCCTGGGCCGGGGCGTGGAGAGAACCTTAGTCCAGACTGGCGGGCCCCGTCTGCACCGACCCAGCCCGCGTACCCTCCGTGTCACCCAGCCCGCCCTGGCCTGGGCTGCCTACGGAATTCCTGCTCGATCTTCTGCTTCAGAAACTCCATCTTCTTGGCCTCGCCGTGCACCAAGAGCACGTTCTCCGGCTCCGCCTGACCCACCAGCTGCATGATGCCCTTGGCGTCCGCGTGGGCGCTGAAGGACATGTACTCCACCTGCATCTTGACCTCCAGCTGCGGCATCACGGCAGGCAAGCCATCAGCACAGGTGGTGGCTCCCAGGGCCGCCCCAAGAGGGTCCACAGAGCTGGTGAGGGAGGGTGAGGACTCACCACCTGCCGCCCCTCCATCTCTAGCTTGCGCTGCCCGCTGAGGATCTTGTGGCCCACGGTGCCCTGCACGCAGTAGCCAGGCATGATGACCTGCGGGAGGGAGGGATGGACGAGCAGCTCCCCTGCACCTCCTGCCTCCTACCTCGGGGCTTCCTCCCGGGACATTCTCCCACCCGCCCCTCTGCCCACCTGAACCCAAACCCTTGGTGGAGGCCCCTCCCCCTTCCAGGGCCCACTGCAGACCCAGGCAGGCTCAGGGGTCTCAGCACAAGCCCGCCCAGGCCTGACCCCCACGATGGCTACTTGGGAAGCCGGGGGCTTTCTTGCCTGGTGCAGACAGGCCAAGACACAGCAAGAGTCTGAGCCTCGGTCAGACACTGGTGCCCAGAGCACCAAGCTGCCGCCTCCTCCTGACAGCGGCAGTGTCCCCCCAGCCAGGGGGAGCCCCTGCCCCTCAACCTCGCCAGCCCTCCAGGGAACTGGCCCCGGGGCCCAGACCCCTCACCATGTTCTTCTCGTTCCCTGCCCATTTCCTGAAGATCTGTAGGGACTGGCCAGCATGCAGCATCCCTGGTGTGGCAAACACGACCTTCGGGGCAGGTGTGGGACAGTCAGGGCATCAGATGCCCCCCGGCCCTCAGCCTTCTGACCGCTGGTCTCCCCGGCCCAGTGGAACCCCGCCCCCAGCCGGCACTGGGCCGCACCATGGGACCCGGGCTGTCGGCAAATGCCCGATCGAAGGCCTTGATGTGCTTGAACTCAAACATGTTCCTCTGCACGAAGGTCTTGCGGATCTTCTGGTTGGTCCAGGGGATGAAGAGCTTGTAGTAGTGGTTGGCCTTCTCCGTCAGGCCCGTGGAGAAGTAGATGGGGGCCTTCAGGCCCACGCGCTCCCTGTGGAGGGCGGGGCTGCGGGGGCTGCAGGGGCAGGGCTGGCCTGCAGCCCCCAGGTGCCCTCAGCCTGGGTTGGGTCCAGTGCCAGGACGGCCGTTCCCCGCCCCCCCTCACCCCACGGCCAGCAGGGCCGGGCCTCCAGAAACCGTTGTGGCCACACCTACCAGAAGGTCTCGAGCAGGATGCAGAGCTCCTGAGCGCGGCCCAGCGCAAACACGGGGATCAGCACCTGCGGGTGGGGTGGGGTGGGGTGGGGTGGGGGTGGGAGGCCAGCTCGGGAGGAACCCCTGGCCGCACCGCCTGGCCACCGAGCCCACAGCTGTGCACAGAGGCCGACAGTTGCTCCTGTGGCCACCTTCTCAGGAGACCAGCCCTGCCAGCAGTTCTGATGGCCGGAGGCCCCATGCAGACTGCCGGCAACCCCGCACATTCTGTCCCAGCACAGCCTGTCACAAAGTGACCATGGTGGACACTCTGGCCAGCCCTTCATTGGGATCTGAGTCACGAGGAGTAGGTGAGCCCCCACTAAAGGGTCTTCGAGGGGAATTTGTCTTCCCAGTGCTGAGCAAACCTTCCTCTTTCTGTGCCCAGAACACAGCACCCCTGCCCGACCACATGCCGGGTCAGCCGAAAGACCCGTGTAGCATGGCCAGAGGCACACAGCCAGCCCCGCCTGGGGCACCCGCCGCCCACCAGCTACCTTCCCGCCACGCTCCACGGTCTCATGGACCTTCTTTAGGAAGTCTCGCTCCCGGCAGCGCTTAGAGTCTCGGATGGTGGTGGCGTACGTGGATTCTGTGATCAGCAGGTTGGGGCGGCATTTGTCAATCCAGGCAGCTCTAGAACACAGGTGGGTGTGGCCAGAGGTGGACAGGCCACACAGTGGCAAGGCTGTACACAGCCATGGCCCTCCTGGACCCTCTAGCAGGCAGCCTGCCTCCTCTGCACAGGCCCAGGCCATCGAATGACACAGGCAGCACTTGAGGGGACAGGAGAACATCCAGGGACAATGACACGCAGACTGCTCAGGAACCCGGCACACCCCTCAGGGTCCCTGTCCCCCGGGGGGACCCACCCAATAGGATGAAACAAACGTACTGGCCTACTTACCCCAAATGCCGGTCTGGGGTCATGTTATAATCCCCCTAGCAAAGAATGTGGCAATGAAGAGGGTGCCTCCTTCCTCTGCCCGGCCAGCCAGCCCTTCCTGTGCCCCAAGTGCTTCCACTGACCGTGTAGACCACAGACTCTGAGCCCACTTTAATCTGGAACATGGCCGCCCCCAGCACGTGGCCCGCATAGTAAGCCTTGATTTCCAGCTCATCGTCCACCTACAGAGAAGAGGGCTGACCTCAGGTCTGCTGGCTGTGCTGGGCAGAGGGCAGAGGGGCAGGGAGGTGGAGCCTGGGGCAGTGGTGGGCGCAAGTTTATGACATCATTCTAGCCTTTCATCATCCCTGTTTTTTCATACACGACATCCACTTCTCAATCGAAGGCAGACACAAGGGCTTCCCTGGTGGCGCAGTGGTTGAGAGTCCGCCTGCCGATGCAGGGGACACTGGTTCGTGCCCCGGTCTGGGAGGATCCCACATGCCGCGGAGCGGCTGGGCCTGTGAGCCATGGCTGCTGAGCCTGTGCCTCCGGACCCTGTGCTCCGCAACGGGAGAGGCCACAACAGTGAGAGGCCCACGTACCGCAAAAAAAAAAAAAAAAAAAAAAAAAAAAACCAGACACAGGAGATGAGACAATACGGACAGAAAGAAGAGGAACAACAGTCCAGAGAAGCAGGTTGAGGGTTCCTGGAGTTTTCAGACACAGGCTTTAAAAGGATTGTGATTAAAATATTCAGAGAGAGAAAGAATTAAGAATGTTGGCAAAAAACTAGGAACTACTAAAAACAGTGGAAATTGTAAAACCAGGAACTATAATAACCCAAGTTAAGGATTCAAAAGAACCATACTATCCCAGGCAATCTACATATTCAATGTAATCCTTATCAAAATACCAGTGGCATTTTTCACAAAACTGAAACAAATAATTTTAAAATTTCTGTGGAAACACAAAAGACGCCAAATAGCCACAAGAATCCTAACAAAAAACAGAACTGAAGGAATCACACTCCCTGACTTTATACTACAAAGCTACAGTCATCAAAATTGCATGGTAAAGAACATCGGAGCTGGAGCAATCAGGCTTCCTAACTTCAGAGTATACTACAAAGCTATAGGAATCAAAATAATATGGTACTGGCACAAAAACAGAAATATAGATCAATGGAACAGGACAGAAAGCCCAGGAATAAACCCATGCACCTATGGTCAATTAATCTATGACAAAAGAGGCAAGAATACACAATGGAGA